AAATTCATCTAGATATTTCATGGATATGTATGTATGCATACATTTGATTATTTATTTTCAATTGGCCTGGGAATCAGATGGGGAAGTTCCATTCTGGAGATAACTGCTAGATTGATGGCAGACTCCATCTCACCCCTTCATGCTCTCTACCTTTCACCCATCCATCTTTTTGCTTATCATACCAATGTATTATTCTCATTGTTTTCCTTTATTGTTGTTTATTTATTGTTCTATTATCTTCTCTTTACACTTTTTTCATTTTTCTTATTTTTCATTATTGTAAACTGCCTTCAGTAACATGGCAAGATAGATGGTAAATAAATTTAATAAATAAATTTAATTAGCCAAATCCCTGTATATATAGGTAGGTTGGTAATAATGTGGATATAAATTTTGTATTTCCAAAACCAGTGCAATCCTCCCTCAGTTTTTTTGAAACTTCAGGAGTTCTCATTTCAGGAGGCAACCTGAATCTTGCATCTTTTAATCTTTCCTTTTGTCTTTTCTCCTTGTCCAGCATACTGGAGAGTGCATATTTTTAGACTACCATAATGATCCTATTTCTGTATTTCTGAAAATGATTATAATGCATGAGAATTTGCCCTTTTAAAAGTAGTTTATCCTGTCACTTATTTTTATTTTTCAAAAGTGATGAAATTTGGACTTTAGCATTGGTTTCCGTTAATAGTGCAGTTCATGGAAAATCATAAAACACCATGGTGGTTATTGGCATTTCATATTCAATGATCTCATTTGAGCCTCCAATAGCTGTCAAAATCAGCCTTGATCAGGAGTGCTTTATTGAAGGATGATAATACTGCAACATTCTGACATGCATATTTATTGACAAATTATATTGGTTAGTCCGGATGAAAATATGTCAGCATGATGAACTAGAAAGAAGTTTTTCTTTTTTGTGGCCCTGATTTTTTTATATAAAGTTGAGGAAAGGATAGATCATCATCTACTGGCAGTTGTATTTGTTGATCTTGCACAAGGTGTTTGATTTCTAGTAGTTTAGCAAATTTCAGGTTTAAAAAGTTTCAGTTGACCTTATATTAATTGCTTTTCCCTCTTTTACTTTGTTTTTATTTTTTATCTGTAAAATAAGCCTACATGCCTTGGTGCCACTTTACTATTGGATTTTCATTTTTTTTAAAAAAAAAAAAACCTGGTCTACCAATAACTCAGATGGTAGCCCAACTCACCTCACAGGGTTATTGTTGTAGGGAAAATAGGACGACGAAGAAACATTAGGTATGTTTGCCAACTTGCGTAATTTATAAAAAATAATAAAGTTGGTATACTGATAAATTAATTAACTAATTTTAAAAGTTATTTTGCATGACCCTTGTGGGAAACCTGGTCTTATTTTTTAAAAAACTAAAAACAAAAATAAATCTATAAAGCCTGAAATCTACTCAGTTATAGTCTAGTTATTCTGAAAGAATACACAGATTAGCTGTTGCAGAAAATCTGTTTCTCTGGGGAGCAAGAAGCATGTTAACATGCGAATCATTTCAATTAACTATGAAATTCCCCTTTGTGTTAGATGCATCTTGAGTCTCTCATACACATCATTCATGTCTAATTGAGATGCATTTCATTAAAGCTGCTAGAAAACAAATATAATAGTTAAATGTAATTGGAAGAACTAATGTAGTTTTTATTGGAGGCAAGTGGAATTCAGAAGGTGCTAAACTTTGCAGCAGTTTTGGGTTTAGGCTACCTTTGTTGATATAAAAGCTATGCCTGTGTAGTAAATAGATCTATTCCAGGCTGTAATTCATAGGTTTGAGCATTGTAACTCACTAGCAGAATATTCCTGCTATTCAGAAATGGAGCTTAATTATTTTGTGTGAAAGATCTCTGCAATTTAAATGACTAATTGTATTGTAGCTTTGGGCTAAACATATTGATAACATAAATGTTGATGGCATCTGCAAGGTCAAGAGACTGATAATTTTGATTATAGTGCTTAAATGATTTGGCAAAAAGTCAAAATACTTCAGTTTAATAATTGTCTATTAAGGCAACATGACATATTTTGTACAGTATTTGTTACCCCCAGGTACAGATTAAAGATCTGATGTAGCCACAGAAAGTGACGTGCATATATGAATCTTAGGCATAGTGGAGAATAAACTGTCATCATATTTGCAGTAATTTGTCTCAATATGTAAAACATTCTGCTGGTTACAGTTGAACAAATTTGTAGAAATGTCACAGAGGAAATGGGGCAGAATGTTGTATAGCTGAATATTAATACCAGTTTTTTTCATTTAAATCTGAGAGTTTTAACTCAGTTCCAAATGGATTGAAGATAAAAGATCCTTAATGTACACATTTATTCCTTAATTGTTTAATGTATTTCAGTATTCAAATACTTTTCAGATTGTAGCATGATTTGTTCCCCTAAATGTTATTCTTTTATTTTTAAATTTCACTGTCCTTTATTAGATATGCAAGCAACACTATAAAGAAAATAGTTTCTTATGAAGTTTAATGGTATAATATGTAGTAGCTATAGATTATTGTTGTAATGTTGTACGCACTCAAACTGAAAGCAAAGGATTTTCTTTTTTGTAATAATTTTATTAGAGTTTATAAGTACAAAGATAAATAACTTATAAAAAACTAAGGAGATAAAAATTAAAAAAGAAGAAAAGAAAACAGAAAAGAAATTCCATTTCAAGTGTCTTTAACATCAAAACGTCTTCCCAAAAGAAAAAGTTTCATTCTACTCTAGGATCCTGGATTCAGAAAATCATCCTGAACTCAGGCTTAAGTAAAGCAATAATTGAATGATGTTATGCATAGTTGCCAAATGAACAACTCAATATAGGAGTGCATGATGAAAATATCTAGATAGCATCCGTTCCCCCCCACCTTATTTGGTATCTCTGTGATGTTGCTAAAGAAGAACCTATCTACATGACAGTCTTCAATTTGATTAATCTTTGATTGTTTGTGTTACTTGAATTCATGGAATTTTTAGTTCAAGGAATTGTAGTGCTTTATATTCAAAATTTGATGTATGCACGTATTGAAGATCCACCGAACTTGATAACGTTTTTAATCTGAGCAATAAAAAAATTTAATCCAAAAAATATTACTCTGAAAAAAATAGGAGTAAATAGTTATCTATTATAGCAATAGTAATAAAATTTTGTGACAGTAAAGATACAGTGTACCAATTTTAATCAAATAAGTCTTGAACATGCTACCATTAGGATGTGTTTGATTACAGCTCCTATAAACCCTAGTTAGTTTGCTGGGAATAAAAGGAATAGGCTTCTCTACCATCTGGCAGTCCCCAGATTGGGAAGAGCTGACAAAATATTTCAAGGATTGCAGTTATTTGAAAAATTCTTCCTCAAGAAAGAGATTTCTTCCTGGAATTGTAGTCCTTATATATACTATTAATCACAATGAAATGGGTGAATTTCTGTATGAATGCTCAAAAAGACATCTCAGAGCAAACTAAATCTTTCTACTTCTTTATATGTCTTTGACTTCTGAAAGACATTCCTTGGAGGGTTGAGAATCCTCAGGGATTCGTTTCTCTTTTTCTTTTTCTCACCCTATTCTTCTTTGAAATATTGCCTTATGTTGAGGTCCGACTCTATGGTATCATACAAGGAGGAGTGTCCCTCACCCAATGGCACTAATCTCCCTTCCATGCCTAGCCCAAATTCCTGAAGAAATAGGAAGTTTCAACCAAGAGTATTTTTATTATTTCAGATTAAATCAGTCAGTTGTGTTTCCTGATATTAGCAGGGAAAATATACTTTCCCAAAAAGTAGATTATATCAATTGTTCAGAGTGGCTCAATTAAATTGCTGACAGTACACTTTTTTATACCACTTTTATATTTTATTTAAATTGCTGCATGCTTTTTACATTACTTATCAAACTTCAAAGTGCTTGGACTTAAATTGTTTCAGCCATGCTTCTAAGCAGAGGTTGAAGTTAATTTAAGTTCCATATCATTAAAACGTCTCAGATAAAAATGTTTTTTTACTCCACTTCCTATCCAAAACATTTTCCCTTGAAGCAATTTGCAGTATAATGTTAAAAGTGCTATGTTTACTTTTGACATGGGGTACATGTTATATTCTTTAAAAAGAGAGCCGACAAACTCAGATTTTCTAGAACAGGGATAAGAACCGTGGTCAAGTAACCTTCCCAGGACAGAAGTGAAAAACTAGCAACTACTAATATATTACTGAAACATAGGCATTTGTAGATCATGTCCAGATCATCAGTATGATACTCTGAAAAGAATTCAAATCCAAGAGTTGGAAGGGGCCATTTAGGCACGGAGTTCAACTCCCTTACTCACTGCAGAAATCCAAACAAATACCTCAAAAGATAGCAGTCCATACTAAAGTATGGACACATTCAAAACACATTCAATGAAAGGGAGCCATCAACTCTCCTAGTTCAAGGGTCTCCAGAAGAGGGTCATAGTTGGAGCAGGCATCAAGAGATATTGTACAGAACAAATATTAGATAGTGATGCTTAAGTGGCTTCTTTCAACTCATTGAAGATCTGATTGCACTTGCCATCTATGGGCAGATTGCCTACAGATGTATGGACAAGAATAATGAAATATGGGTGTTTTTTTTACAATGAATAGGTGAAAAAGTAGTGTATAACTCTATCCAAAATACACTGTATATGTCCTAATATATATTAGACTAATATATATAGAATTGTAACTTCATGATTATAAAAGACACATATTACTTTTATTATTATTACTTGGGAAGTTGTCAGATTTTTTCCACTTTTTTGTTATAGCACTTTTTATGCTTTTTTCTTTCATTATGTATCACTATCACTTTTTTGTGTGTTGTTCTTTTTTTTTTTTGTTATTAATTTAAAAAGCAATATATATAAATATAGTGATTCTTGGGTGTCAAACTTAGCAAATGTCTATTTTGGCTCAATAAAGCCCATTTATACATGCTTTTCTTCTTTTTCTCCCATCCAGGGCTTCAACAGAACGTCTAGTCTTACGAAACCATACCTTTGGTCAAGAATAACCCGAATTTGTCTCAGGGACTTGATTTTTTGTCTGGAACAAGAGAAAGAAACAAAGCATTCTCTAATCTTATATCAAGCTCTTCTGAAATAGTGGCTAATCTAATTCTGCATTTCAGCTTATCATACATTGCCAAAGAACAATTTGTTTGCACTATCCTGAAGTCATATATTACACATATGTTTGTAAAGTCGTCGTTGAATGTAGGCAATGCTGCCTGGACATGTGGAAGGGAAAAGGCTTCAGGTGCCTGCTAAGATACTGTATTAGTATATAAATCTGCAATATTATTCCATGAAGCGTGTGCCTTCTAACATTGCAGTTAGTGAAGGATGACGTGATGAATGTATTTAATGACAAACTAGCAGTTTGCTAGTGCATAGCCTGCAGGATTCAGCCTTTCTGTGTGTCCTAGAGAAACCACCTGGGAGCCAACTAAAAAGTGTCAAAATGCAGGCTATAATTTCCTGCCTCAAAAGAAAGATGGAGAAGAAAGAATCCCTACTGGCATTTTTTGTGTTACTAGTCCTACCAGACAGATCTGCAAGCAAACTACAGTTGTAAAAGTTGGAGAAAGCAATACTTGAAAAGTCAAAGTAATTTTGTGGGACAGTTCATAAGACAGTGGCCTATCCATTTTCAGCATAAAATGACTTCATTTGCATATGTATTTGCTTTTGTATGTGTTTTTAAAGTGTCCTACACAGTTCAAGATGCCCCATTGCTTTCTTTGGAATACAAAGTGATTTCCTCTCCATTATGAGAAAGGAGAGAATATATGTATATATATATATACTGACTATCAGGGATCTGCTCTATCTTGCACTGGTAACTTCAAAATAATTCTAAAACCTGGAAAAACCAGAAGAAAAATTTTGCAAGGGCATTTGCAGAACAGCACAAAACTCTCCAGGGTGCCATAATGTTGAATATAACTATTAATCCCTCCTGAATAAGTGATGAAAATTATTGTGATGATAGAGCTACCTGCTATCATTTTTTGCACTTGCCTATGAACATTACTTTATTGTGGACAATAATGTCACAATACAATACCACATGACATGGATGTATATAATGGAACCTGTGAGAAAGAAAGCAACTGAAAGCCTTTGAAATTGAAGTCTTTATTATAAATAAGAATAATCTTTATAGTTTCTCTACATATTACAAAATGGAGAATACATGGATGTGGGGAAACCCTTGATAAGAAGTACTACTGAAGTTATATTGAGTTTCTAATCAAGTCATGGTTTCCTTGTTAGAAAAATGGTGAACTGGGGTAGTTAAACCAATGTAGTAAATTATTTGTGTCTTTACGCATATTTATAAAGTGGGCAGTCTTGGATAAGAAAGAATAGCACTTTGATTGTTGAAAGCAAATATATTTTGTATTGTAAATGCTTAACTTTTTATTTAAAATGCAGCATATTTTTCCTATTTTGCGTATTTAGCTTAAGTGACAAATGTTTCAAATTTATTTTAAATACTCTATTAAAGTGAATATTTTATTAATTCTAAGAGTAATTTCTACACAAACTGTAAATATGGCATTGCTTCACAGAACAATCTAGTCATAAAGTCCTAACAATTGGGACATTACAGCTAATATTCTCAGCAACACTTACGATTATGGCATAACTGAACATCATTTTGTACCTTAAATGTAGCCTTTTTGTCTTGGGGCAAATATCTGGGACAGCTACATACAACTTAAGCATATATTTGCTCTTCTCACATATCAAGTCAGGATGAGCAAAGGCTTAAGTCAGAGTGTTAAATTAGCCTTCCCTAATTAAATATACATTGGTGCCACACATTTAGTTCTCAAATTCTTGCTTTTCCAGACCTGGACAAGCACAGCTCTATAATTTATACCTGTCACTTCAATACTACCACATTCTCAGCTGACTTGCACTTAGGTGGAAGCTGACCTGATTGTATCATCTTATCATAAAAATAAGAAAATTCCCCAAACCTTATTCTAGGAAGAAGAAAAAGACAATTTCATGCAGTTGTCCCCCCAGGAGTCTAGAGATGCCTGTGGCTTCTGTTCTGACCTTTAAAATTAGCCCTGGAAGACACACATTTTTTATGCAGGAAATGGAAGAAGGGGAACATAAGCAAAGAAGAATGTACAGTATGGTAGTCTTCAGAAACTAAAGGACTCTTGTCAGAAAGACTAGAGCTCAAAATGATCTGAGGTTTACAAGAAAAACTGAAAACAACCAAGAAAGTTATTTGGGTATGTCAACAAAAAAAAAAAAAAAAAAAAGGCCAAAGAGATTGGATTTGGAGATCATCTGTAAAGAGAAAATGGCGAAGTGGTAATGAGTGATGCTGAGCAAGCAGAAATACTCTTGTTTTGTGCCTGTCTTCCCTCAAGCAGGAAATGGAACCCTAGAAATAACTCTTGTTTATATAATAATAAATAAATCTTCCCTCAAGCAGGAAATGGAACCCTAGCTAGTGATCACTATGCCACTGGGGGAACAGGAGCTTAGGGTAGACAAGGATAGGCTAACCGAGAAATTAACTAAGTTAGATGAGTTCAGCTCTCCAGATCACAAAATCATTCTTTGGGCCTTATAGGCTAATTGAGTTTCAGTCTATTACAGCAGCTTAGGTCAAGATCCAAAAGTTTCCACCCTAACTTAATGGCTATCTAGAAAACCTGTGCCCCATTGGGGGTGGGGGGGTGTCATCATTTCAAGATCTATATCTAAACAAACAATGACCGCATGTGGCCAAAAGAGCAGTGGGAGCCAAAGCGACTTCCTACTGGCTTCCTCATTGAGTTTCCTTGTAGGAAATAATCTTTCTCCTCCTTCCTTTCTTTCTTCCCTCCCTCCCTTGAATTCTTGCCAGTTTTCCCATTTTCTTTGCTTGTGGAAAGTTTGCAGAGAGAAACTGAGGATCCCAGCAGGAAATTGCAAGTCCAAAGCCTGCAGACAGACAAGTGACTGCTGCTGTGGGAGGGAGGGGGAGAATATACAGAGATGCAGGTCAGCAATGAGTGTAAGATGCTGTGTGGATTGGTAAGGAAGTGTGGGCCAGGAAGGATGCATGTAGATATGGTGAAGTGCCATGTGGGTTGTGTAAGGTGCATGCATGAAGAGCTGTGGTGGCTGCCAGAGTTTGATTCTCACCAGCTCAAGGTTAACCAGCCTTCCATCCTGTGGTCAGTAAAATGAGGACCTAGGTTGTTGGAGGCAATATGCTGACCACTTAGGGAAGGCTGTAAAGCACCATGAAGTAGTATACAAGTCTAAGTGCTATTGCTAAATGCTATGTGGGGGATGGCATGAGTTGAGAAGGGTGAGGGGGTTGGGTGCGTGAAGGTTGTGGGGTAAAGCATGCATGGGGTGGCATGAATCAAAAAGGGTGCCAGAGTATGCTTGGGAGTGCACAAGAGATGCCGCATGGGTCAGGAATGGTACATGGAAGGTGATGTGGGTTGGAAAGAATGTAGGAGTGCACAAAAGGTACCACAGGGCAGGGAATAGGGGGTGGCACTGATTAGGGTTAGAAAGGGTGTGTGTGCGCGTGTGTGCATATGCCAAGAGAAGCCTTGGGAATTGGGGAACGTGTCGAGGAGATTACAGGTTAGGGATGGTGTGGGCAGCATGGCCTGGGAAAAATATGCAAAAATTCCTTCTGCTTGTCCTCCTTCCTTTCCTCTTTTTCTTCTTTCTTTCTTCTCTTCCTCTTTCCTAGCAGGCAAGTAAATAGCTGCTGGTGGGTGGGTTAGGACCCAGGGATTGAGAGAGTGACTGGGAAACTGTCCTGGAATGTTGAATATGAGCACATCAGCAGAAGCATTGCACTGAGCAGCCATAATTTCCTCAAATTTCCTTCCCTCAGGAGTAACGAATCTTGGATTTTAGATATGTTCAAAATCCAAGATCTTGGATTTTAGATCAAATGGTTTAAATTAATCCATTTGAGCTACCTTGGTTCAAAAATGGTTGGCCATGCAGCACTGTTTTGCCCAGTTACAGGTTATGACAGTTTCAGTAGCATATAGTTAGCTTCCATTGGACCAGTGAATGCCTATTTTATTCTTAATATTGTCTTCAGATGAGAAAAAGTGAGTTTTAGATGATGATGAAGAAAATTATTCCAGTATGGATATTTCTGAGAGCAGATTACTGAATCTGCCCCTACAACCAGTATAACCATGATGCACTTCAATCAATGATGCTCTGATTTGCAGAACAATCCTAAATGAGCCTGTAAGGCATTACTGTGTTCTATTTGTTTATGCATCCCAAAGTGGGTTTTTAAACATAGCTTCCTAGATGTTCTAGCATAAAAGTTGCTGAGCCCATGCCATTGCCACTGATCATTGGGAGCTGATGACAGATGATATGCCTATCCTAATCTCATGACATACAAATCTGAAATCCCATTTATCAGGTAGCATTTAACTCATAACATTCCAGGTTTTCTTAATCACCAGAGTAAATTTTTTTGTTACAAGGAAGACAGACTGGAGGCATTTTAACTCATAATAGAAAAGAAATGCACACCTTTTTAGCCTGTAAGAGGTGCAGGTTGCTTGAAATGAGATGGTTGAGAAATGGTAAACTGGCTAGAATTAGAAGAGAGGATGTGGGCCATCTGATGCAGGCAACTGCTCATCTCTCGTGATTTTGTATCAAAAAAGGAAGATCCCTGGGTCTGGGAATTAGGCTTCCTCCAGGTTGCCTATTGCCAGAAGACATTAGGATTTAAGTGCCTATAAAGTGACTAGTTGCAGCCATTAATACAAATAGGGCATCTGTGTGGGACAGGATAGATTAAAGGGTTTAAAGCAGGGGTGTTTAACTTTGGCAACTTTTAATACCTGTGGATTTCAGCAAGTCTACAGCAAGTCCAACTCTTGAAGTTGGCAAGGTTAGACACCCCTGGTTCAAATGCACAGATTAGGAAGGATTTGGAGGATGAAATGCTTGATTGACTATCTCAAGGGTCAGCAACCTGCAGCTCTGCAGCCACATGTGGCTCTTTTATCCCTCTGCTGCGGGTCCCTGTCGCTAGTCGGCATCACAATTTTGAGAGGAGCTTCAGGTTGGGGGGGGAAGTATGGCGTGCCACGGGGAGACTCTATGGCAAGGGGTGGGTTTCCAGTCAGCTCCACAATTGATAGGGCTTTTGGCTAGGACAGGTAGAGGAAAAAGGACACCGCACTAGGAAAAGACTCTATGGTGGGGGAACAGGACTTCTGGTCGGCTCCAGAATTGAATGGGGGGGCTTACGGTTAGGACCTTTGTGGCTCTTTGAGGGTTTAAGGTTGCCGACCCCTGGACTACCTTATCCCTCAAGCATTCATGGTAAGCTTTGCTCTTGGCTTGCAATCTGATACATTAGGCCATCCTCTTTACCCCCAAAATGCTTGAAGTGCAACCAAAATTTCAGTACCATCCTGCATGCTATCATTCCTTCTGCCCTGATCATTAGTTTGTCTTTCCTTCCACTTCTCCAGTAAACATTATTTTTTATCCAATTAAATATAGATCTAGATAAAAGAGCAAATGTATTTTGTATATAATATAAAATATAATCAAAATTTAAAGCTACTGCTACCTTGACTTCATATCACTTGTACACAAAATATGTGTGAGCTGGCCTGGGGCCTTCAAGATAAATGTAGTAAGTGAAGATCTTCTGATAAAAGGTACTATATATGCAAAGCACTTTTTACACATTCA